GATGGTCTATTTACAAGTACAGAGGTGCATACATAACCATGACATATTTCCAGTGTCTTTTCAATGAGATGCTGTAGTTCTCATTTAATGCTCAAAAGTTAAAGTGAATTAATCTACAATTGGACTGCTTCTTTGCTGTCTGGTTATCAATATATACCATGATTCATTTTTTGGACACATCATTTATAGATGATTAAAGCAGTAGACTGACAGGAGAGATTAGCCAGATGAAAAGAATAGTTGAAGACAATTTTTAAAAGCTAACAGATGAAACACATTATGTATTGCTATTTCCTGCTAATGTGCATGTGGATTTTAATGCTCATGAAAGTGAGGACCTAATAGCAGATGTTTAAGATAGATGTATTATGTGCATGCACTGTATACTGTTTCCCCACAGAGACCCTGAACACCCCTATGGCAGATCAGTGTCCTATATTTCAGTGAGCTAATCAGCTCTGTACCTAGTCTCAGGTCAAACATCCTATTTTTGCCTTGAATGTCCTATTTGGAGAAAATAAAGGCAGGTTACTCTTGGCCAAGATTTTCAAAAGTCACTAGTGATTTTAATTGTCTCAATTTTTGGATACCCAGCTTGGGAGGCCTTAAGGAGCCTGTTTTTCAGAGAGTAGCTGCTCGGTACATCATGACATTTAGGCCCGATCGGGCTGCCGCAGCCCCAACCCTGCTGCTGGGTGGCACGTGACTGTGCTGATTCTGCCAGGCTGCCATGGCCAGCTTCCCCTCTCAGGCTTCTGTGGCCATAGTCCTGGCCCCACTGTTGGGTGATAGGCAGCCCTGCCTTCTGTGCGGCAGACAGTCCTGATTGCGCTCCACCCAGGCTCCTGTGGCCCCATGGCTAGCAGTCTCACAGGGCTGCACTGGACTCCCAGCTGCTTGCCCTCCTGCCCCAGGACTCTCTCATCCTGGAACATCTGTGGTCATGCTCTACCACAGAATTTGCTGGATGAGAGAATCCCAGATTTGGAAGGTGCAACCCATAATCACTTTGGAACATCTTGGGATACTAAAGACAAGCAATCTCAACCATCGGGAATCTGTGCAGATGGCTCGTGTGTACCCAGCTATTAATATTTTTAGACATTATTTTCTATTTACATTTCAGACACATGCTATGTCTGGTCTTGTTTTCTCTGTATTCACTTTAATTAAAAAGGTACAAAACTGCAAACACTTGCTGTATTATTTCACTTGCTCATGCAATGATGAGTACCTTTTAAAAAATCTCACCAAGCAACAGCTGGCTTCCTGCAGTTGGCTCCCATTTCTAAATTTACTTTACTCCCAGCCCACAGTTAAAACTCTGCAAGTATGCACTGCATTCATATATAAATTAAAAATTTCACAAAACCTTGCTATTCAATTAAGGGGAAAATACTGCCATTTCTGTCAGCAATAATGAATCCGACTATGGAGTGGGTACAATTTAGGATAGACTAGAACTGATAATTTGTTTTTTGCTATTTTTATAAAATTTGGATGCTCCCACTCCAGCAATATAATAGGTTGACTGGCTGAACAAATGGCCTTTCCTTTTATCCAGAGGGCCAAGAATTTACGGTGATTTTGCGAAATATTTAATTTTTACTGAACTGAAATTTTGGGGGCAGTTAGAATTCACATGACCCTTGTATTTACTCCTTTTCCAGTCCTAGGTTTCTTTTGACTAACTCTGCTTGCAGCTGTGTTCCGAGTGCAGGGCGGAACAGGAGCAGTCCGATGATTTTCTCTTTCTTTATTCCCCAAATGGAGTGGCTCACTCAGCTATCAGATACTTCCCAGAGCATTGAAAGGGGAGAGGTGCATGCTTGCAGGGCAGCAGAGATCACAACACTAAGCACAGCCATCAGGGCAGGCACTGTGGGATAATGGCAGAAGCCAGTTATCTCAACAAAACAAACACCAGAGTCTATACTGGCTCTTTGTGGACAATAAAGGAAAGGAGAAAGACAAAATTCCCTCATGGAGCTGGAAGTTCTTTGTAGACAAAAATGTCTACTTTTAGCGACAAGTCACACTGTAGTGTGAACACTCACGCAGTTTTATCAAAGGAAGACACTTTTCCTTGACAAAACTTGCCAGTGTAGATAAGTCCTGGGGGCAACAGTACATACAGCTTTTGCCTCTATTTTTCCTTTATACATTCTCTTCCCTGCAGCAGTGGTAACACAGTTAATATATCTATATCTATCTATATATAAATAAAACCATCAGATAACACAGATATATATAGCAGCTGTGTTTATCTGATGGGTTTATTTAACCTCCTTTCTTAGGTCTGATGACTGTATATCTGCAGGCTGGTAGCCTGAAACAGTAACACTTACATGGAAGAAGTGTTTGATCTAGTATCTCAGATATAATTAGCTACTAGGCATGTTACATTTTGATTAATCAGCTAATCGATAGTCGATAAGGGGGAGGAGGGGCGCTCATTATCCCAGCTGCGCCTCAGCCTTTTACCTCCCATGGCTCTTATTACATTTAAAAGGCAGATGAGCAGTGGGGAACTGCAGCGCTACAGCTTATGCTTATCGGTCAGTCGACTAGTTGCTTACAATCCTCTTGGCTACCTCTGCATAACTGAGGCAAAGGCAACATAACTGCAACAAAACTTATATATAGTCATCATGATAATTATCTAATATATTCAGTAGCTTCCACATGCATTTCAACAGACCAATCCAAAAATAGTAAGTAACATGGAACATTATCTAAAAATATGCATAGACAGACTTCATTATTGTGGGTGTAAAAACTATGTGTATACTAGACTCTCAGATGTCAGCTTTTGCTATTATTTATTTTAGCGTGGTATAAATATCTTACTGACCTGAATTTGGGAAGATCACATTGTTCCCAAACAGCAAAATCACAACACCATTATTTATCCCATAAACCATATGAATTACAGGGAAAATGCTTTGGAAATATCTTAAAAGAGCTTCACTGGTATTATTTTTAATATCCCACTTGTGGGAGAATTTTGCAATGATGAATTTATGCAGAAATTAGTGGGTTTTTTGTGCACAATTTCCTCCCCCTGCCCCAGAAATGGGTTGCAGAGCTGTTAGCTACCATGATGGGGGTGCTGTACCCAGCAGACCTTTGCAGAAATCAGCTTGCAAATAGTGGACAGTACTGGGTGAAGGGGAGGGTACTAGAGGGTGCCAGAGAGCTGCAGTTCCCTTCATGTCTTGAAGGAAGGAGGCATCATGCATGAAACTCCACACAAGCTGGGACTTAGCATAAGACTGTTTCTCCTTCTGGATCCCAGTGCTCTGTGTGGGGGGAACAGGTACAAACGTCTGAGTTGGAGGGAGCTCAGCTGGGGTTCTTGTGGAGGGGACATGCAAGTGTCTGGGCTATGGGAGCATGCTGCAGCTGGGCTCTAGGGGAAGGGGCAGTGAAAGAGGAACTGAATTGTTGTAGCGATTTCATTTACTCTCTACTCCTGCAGGATTTTTTTGTGTATTTTTCAGACATTGGACCGGTCTACACTAACACTATCACTCTGAAATGTTCGTAATTCTGAACAAAAACATATGGTTGTTCTTTCAAAAGTTCACAACTAAATATTGACTTAATACAGTTTACAACTTTATTCTGCAGAAGAAAAAATGCTGCTTTCTCTTTATTTTTAGTAGTTTGTGTTTAACCCAGTATTGTCCTGTTGGGAAATAACCTGCTGGATTGTTTGGGGGTTTTTTGGTCTCTGTGGCTGCCTGACAGTGTACTGCTAGTGCCAAGACAGGTGTGTGGTTGTCTGGTCAGTTCATAACTCTGGTGTTCATGAGTCTGTGTTTCTACTGCATGATGGGACATATTCCCTTGTGTATCCAACTGTACAAAGTTGGAAGAAGATGAGAACATTTCTACACTACATTCCTAGTTGGTGTAAATCACTATAGCACCATTGAAGATAATTCAAGCTTCCACACTCTGTTCCTCTAATTCATTGTTGAAGAAACCAGCAAATGACAGAATGTTTTTTCCTACACACTGAAATACTGCAGTCTCCCCAAGAATGTATTCCACACCTTCTTGGAGAAGGAGACTAATCAACAGAGTAGGTGTCAGCCCCACTTGTTTCTTTTAAGGACTTCATGATCTACTTTAAAGTAGAATAGAAACTTAGCCAATGATGGTAAAAGAGATTCCAGCTAATGAATTTCTATTTGTTTTCGGTGGTATCCACGGTGTGTAAGGCTCAGGACAAACAAAAGGGGCTGAATCACCCAGGAAAGTCTGAATAAGTGAATACAGTCTTCAGACTATCTGTCACTGTCTTGCTGTTTAAAACAAAGCAAATCTCTTTTTAAAATGCTCCTAATACGTTGTCTTTCCTGAGTGCCCAGCATTCTCAGCAACATGAGGAGCACGTGAATAATCAATATGTTGTTGTGCCAAAAGGTCTTTATGCTCCTCTTTTAAAAGAACCCAAATCTGTGGAACTTCAGAGGCCAACAGGGCAAGGCAGTCCAAAATAATGACACAGTGATAATCAAAACACAATGTAAAATAAAAAAATATGGGGCTGAATTTCTTCTGCTTCCACATGACCCATGACGTAGAAGCCCCACTCTTCCTCTAGTTAGAGAGGGATCCAGATACATTGTATTGGGACATTGATAATGTACATTACACTGTGTCCATTCAAGGCTTTAAACATGACAGTGTAAATTCAATCCGCAGACTAAGCAGGAGCAAATGCAGAGAGTGAAGGGAGGTTCCAAAGCAGATGGAGAGAGGCTGTTCACAATAGTGAGGGATGGCAGAACAAGGAGCAATGGTCTCAAGTTACAGTGGGGGAGGTTTAGGTTGGATATTAGGAAAAACTATTTCACTAGGAGGGTAGTGAAGCACTGGAATGGGTTACTTCTAGGGAGGTGGTGGAATCTCCATCTCTAGAGGTTTTTAAGTCTCTGCTTGACAAAGCCCTGGCTGGGTTGATTTAGTTGGGACTGGTCCTGCCTTGGGCAGGGGTCTAGACTTGATGACCTCCTGAGGTCTCTTCCAGTTCTACGATTCTATGAAGTAAGCCTAATGCTCTCTGCCCATTCTCAGAAATAATCACGCTCTAGCACTAGCAGCAGGGCATTGGGTTGCATTGTAGCCAGCTTAGTATAGAATGCCTTGCAGCAGTCTGATCCTGATGTCACAAAGGCATGTAATATGGATGGCATCACAGCAGTCATGGTGTAAAAGTTCATTATCATAAAAACTGAATCACCTGCACCACAGCTGATCATCTACAATTACTAGGTAGACCACAACTCGGCTCAGCTTCCATGCTGAAGTGGCCGGCTCTCATCACACTCTCTAAATTTAGTAGGTCTTCTCATTTTCCTCAGACCTTCTGAAAGAACCAGACCAGTGTCAGGCCCATTTTGCTATGTATTTAAAGACCTCACCTGTGGGGATCTCAGTCCAAGGAAAGTGTCAGTTATTTCTAAATAATTTTTGGCATCCCTGTAAACCTCATTCCACGAGGAATCAGGGATGTCTCAAAATAGTGCTTTATTTTGAAATTTGGCGCTGTGTAGAAATAGCCTATTTTGAAATAAAATTGAAATAAAAATCGATTTTGCGTATCTCATTTCGATTTTAGAGGGCAGTCTAGACATTCCCTAAGATGAAAAACCTCTGTGTGGAATCACCACAGAATATAAATCCACAAGCAGCAGTGGCCATACGTGTACACACGTCAAGGGTGCCATCTGTGTTTGCATGTCAGAGCACACAAGCAGTCCTGCTGCACCACCAGAAAAATTAACCAGGCTCAGAGTTCAAGATATGCAGTGCTTTGGGTCAGTGTGCCGTAGCTTTCCGGTTATGCCTGCTTGCTACTAGCCACTTCACGCATTGGAAGAAGCACTCGGGTGCGGATTCCCATTCTGAGACTCATTTGTCTTATAACTGGCTTGGGCATCATCATCAGTACCATCCGATGATTTCAAGTCTGCCTTATCCATAGGCATAGCAGCCGCAGGTGGTTTGCAAGCAAAGCAGAGGTATTTGAAACAAGACAGCAAGCCTTCTGAAATACTGGATGAGAAAAGCTTTTTGCAGGGGTGGCAGAATTGGTAGAACACCAGCATGAAGAGGACAGCCATGCAATAGCCAATCAGCAGCTGCAAGACTAATAAAGGGGCACACACGTACAGGTAGACGTCTGTTCTATAGGCATACCACAGCAAAAGGAGGAAAGCATTCTCAATGAACCTTAGCATGTAATATACAGCCAGTCGGTACCAGTTCTGGGATTTGTTAATTAAGTCAGAATCATTCAGCTTCAGCTGCACTGCTGACCAGCAGAACATGTTAATGCCAGCATACAAGAAGGTAAGGAGGCACAATACAATAGTTGTGCCCACCCGGCTCAAAGCCTTCTCTATATTTTCAGGGAAAGGGGATTTGCTTTGCCAAAAGAGAATCCAGGGGTAAAAGAAAAAGCCAAAGAAATTCAGGAGCACCACAGGCAGGACCCAGATTTGAAGCACAGAACTGAAAAGAACCAGAACTACAACCCGGGTGGCAATCTCAAAGCTTCTCCAGAGGAATATGCAGAGGTAGGCTGCAGGTTTCACGCTGACATCATAATCATCATACTTAATCTTAATGGCCAGGATGTTGCAGCGTAATGCGCCATATACAATCGACAGCAGAGAAAGAACCATGAAGATGCCTGGGAAAAGAGAAGATTTTCAGAACCTTCTGTTTTAGCAAACAGTAAATGCAACGTATTCAAGTAGTACAAAGCAACTGGAAAGCTGCTTTCAACAGGGAAGCTGGTGATGCCCCTTCTATAAGACAGTGGTTCCCAAACCACTGAAGGGTGGGGGCATGGAGAAATATTTTGGGGGGGATGCAGTGGGACCCAACCCAGTCCCCAATGGGGTGGGGAGGAAGTGCTACCCTGCTCTGTTCTGCCCCCAAACCAGCAGCTCCCCCCGCAGCCACAGCTCCACTCAAGCCCCAGCCTGGCTCTGGTCCCAGCAACAGTTCTGCTCCGGCTCCAGCCCAGCTCCACCCCATACCAGCTCTACCCTCATTCCCTCTCTACTCCTAGGCCAACATCACCTCTAGCCCCAGCTGCTCCCCCATTCCTGTCCCCCCCCCAAACCTGCAGTCAAAACCCCTCTGCTCAGTCAACTGTGCAGTAAGGGGAAGGGGAGAAGAGTGCACCCCACTGTGCTAGGGGAATCCTAGCAGCCTTTCTACACCACCCACTCCTGAAGAGTGTTCCCTGTAAGCTGGGCACTTGTGTGGCTCCTCAGGAGAAATTCAGATGCTATCCGGCTGATTAGCAGAGTGCCCGCAGCTTGATTTGTGTTTCTACTGGTGGTGCCCATTCAGACATGCCTCAGTGAATGTCATAAAACATGTTCTGCACATGGATGGAAAAGATTGGAGTTTCTTCTGACGCCAGCCTGCCCCTGAGCTAGGAGATGTGGGTGGGAGCATCACCAGTCTGCACTGTGCTCTGGCAATCGGGGGCTGACAAAATGGCCCCATGGAGTTAGTGCAGCCAGCACGAGTTAGAGCCTGGGAGTTATTCTAGCTTCTGCCAAGGGCTAAATCAGTTCATGGACGGCCCTTGGGCTGGGGGTTGAGCGGGAGCAGAAAAGTAGCAGAAAGCAACACATGTCCCGTCCTTCCCACCCTCCTCCAAGGAAAGTCTAGCAGTCATGGGTGTTTGGTAGCCTAGGTGGGGGAAGGCTTTGTTTTCCCAAACCGCCATGCATGGCCCCATCCCCAGAACACCTGCTGTGGGCAGAGTGGTGCTGCCCCCAGCGCCTGCCCTCCCGGTGCTCCTGGACAGGGAGACTGGAGCCATGTGGCCTCCTCCCTCCCTCCCTGTGCTGGGGCCACACTGCGTGCCCTCCTCCTCCTCCTCCTGGTGCTCTGGGGGCCAGGGAAGCTGAGGGGCATGCATGTACTCACCCCCCCCATCTATTCCCCTCCTCGTGCGGGGGAGGGGCCCTCAGCAAAGGGGGCGGGGCTGTAAGTGGGGCTGGGGGCCTGCCTCCCTCAGCCCCAGCAGCACCAACTGCCCATGCTAGCAACACAGTCTAAACATGCTACCCCATTCTTACAGAGGGAGCCCTTCTCCCTGCCAAACATGCACACTAAAAGCAAGGGTGAATTTGGGGGGCAAGTAATACCTAACTTATTTTGTCACAAAAGGAAAAAGATCCAGCTAACTGCACTGGGTGGATCAGACAAGGATCTGCAGGCGCTCACCAGCACCCTATCCAGTGTGATCAGAAAGGTTACTTGGGTGGATAGTAAGGATGTTAAAATTCAGTCAAATAGGTAACCATGCAACTGCTGAAAATATCAGTGGTTACACGCTGCGGGCTCTGCAGTATAAAGACAAAATAAGCAGAGCCAGCAGTGAAACCTCTCCAGGAACGGGGTCACCCGCCCGTGTCCACCCAGCTCCTGGGGAGGAGGTTTCACTGCCCTGCCGCAGCAAAGCCGTCTCCCCAGGAGCCAAAACCATTAACCAATAAGAATCAGCTTACTGGTTAAACGGTTAGTCAGTGACACTCTAACTTCCTTAGTGGATAGTCTTTGAGCATGGGATTTCAGCAATGGTGCTCCCCAGTCATGGAATCAGCCACCCATCCATGAGTGTTATTAGTAGGCTAAGTGAATTTTGCAAATCACAGCTCACGGTGCTTTGATCTGGCTGTAAATTTGAAAATGCCCTGGGACATTTGTAAAAACAAAACAAAACAAACAAACAAAAAAACCCCCAGCTCTACACACTATGTAATCCTCTAATAAAATAATACTTTGCAATAATACAGTGCGTTTCCCATCTAAGAGTACAGTGGCATTATCCCTATCTCCTAGACCAGGAATGCTGAGGAAACCAAGAGATTTGAAGTATTTTATGCAAGCTTTGTGTAAAATCTAACTATGTGATGTACTTATATCCTCCTCCCTCCCCTGTCCCCACTGTAGTATCTGTGTGCCTCTCAATCTTGAATGTGTTTATCTTCACAACAACTCTGTGAGGTAGGGCATTCTTACCAAAGGCGAACTGAGGCACAGAGACTTGCTCAAGGTCACATAGGAAGTGTGTGATGGAGCTAAGAATTGAAGCCACATGTTCCAGGCCAGCACCCTGGCCACTCACTCTCTGTTTTCTCGTGGAAAAGATAAATATGGCATTTGTTCACCTAGCTGCATTGTATTTTCTTTATTTGTCTCTCTCCCCGCCCTGCCTCTATTATATAACCTTAGACTGAATTTAGAGATGCTGACTTGTAAGTATGGAAATCCACCCTTCTGTGTTTTTCCACACCTACTTATGATTCCTCAGGGGAAGAGCTTCATTGTGATTTAAACATGGCAGAGTGCGGATGGGGCTACTTGGAATCTGGCATCCAAAGTGACAACAGGTGGCACTAAAACGTTACTGTGATGGGCATCTCCTTACATAGCTCCCGGGAACGTGAAACAGCAAATGCAGCCTCTCGCACCATGAAAAAAACATGGAGATTGGAGTTCACAAATGTCATGCAGCATCTGAGCTCAATGTCATGTGAAACTGTGATAGCAGAATGTTAGATACTCCATAATATCAGAAGCTTCAGGGGGTAGCCGAGTTAGTCTGTTACAGAAAAAAATGGTCTGGTAGCACTTTATAGACTAACAAAACATGTAGATGGTATCATGAGCTTTCGTGGGCATGGCCCTCTCACTCTGGTCATCTGAAGAAGTGGGCTGTGCCCACAAAAGCTCATGATACTATCTACATTTTTGTTAGTCTATAAAGTATTACCAGACCATTTGTTGGTTTTTTCCATAATATCAGTTACTAAAGTGCTTTTTTATCTGACTACAGGGAAGTAGGAGCTGTGAATTAAGATACCGAAAAAATGCATCCACAGACTGAAATATATTAGCACAGAGCTTTCATACCTGATGTCTAAACTTCAGACTCTTCAATCTATAATTAGGCACCTAAAAATAAGTGGCTTGCTTTTTTAGAAGTGCTGAGTAGCCAAGCCACTGTTGGGCACTGCATACGTTCAGCACCTATGAAAATCAGGCCACTTTTATTTTAGGAGTTGAACTATAAATTTAGGACACAAGTTTTAAGCATGCACGTTTGAAACTTTCAGCTTTAATCTTTGCATTTTCATACAAGGCGTGTTTTAAATGCAAATAATTAAAGTAAAACTCATAAATTATATAGTCATTTTTCAGAGGGGTAGCCATATTAGTCTGTAACTTTACAAACGAGTAGTCCTGTGACACCTTAGAGACTAACAAAATTATATATAGTATCATGAGCTTTCATGGGCAAAACCCACTTCTTCGGAAGTAGTGGGTTTTGCACACAAACGCTCATGATACTATATATATTTGTTAGTCTCCAAGGTACCACAGGACTACTCATTTTTTAATCATCATTTCTGTTAGCATTTAGAAGGAAATATGTGCTGAATATTAAACTGGTGATGCTACAGCACTTTCTAGTTTATCAGATAAAATGAGATTAGATAGATTTCACTCGAGTCAATTATTTTAATTTAGTGCTTAGCAATCAATGCTATCTGCAACTTCCAATTAGTTTGTTTTATTATCATATAAAAGGACCACATTTACTGCTTTATTACAGCTATTTAACCACACTTGTGCTATTGAAAGGAATTAAGCTCTGAGCATGACTCTAAGAAACTGAGATATTTTAATATCTTTGAGTGATTAGCTAGTGAGCTTTTCCCTGTACATTTTAACTGCCACCTTGTCTTCAAACATCTCTGAATTCATTTTGAATAGAATGCCTGACAAAGAATTACCGTATTTTCCGGCGTATAGGGCGACTGGGCGTATAAGACGACCCCCTATCTTTTTAATTAAAAGATAGGGTTTCATCTTATACCCCAGCGCCCCTCCGCCTCCTTTGCTCCCGGTGTCCCTGGTCTGCTGGAGATGGTCCCCAGCAGACCAGAGGCACCGGGAGCAAAGCCGTAGCAGCTTTGAAAGCCTCGGGGGAAGCCGGCGGGGGGGCATCCCAGGCGCGCCTGGGATGTATACCCAGCGTACAAGACGACCCCCGATTTTTGGGGGATGTTTTTTAACATCAGAGGTCGTCTTGTACGCCGGAATATACGGTATCCATGTACCTAAATACCCAGTATCAGCTTGTAAGGCTGAATAACCATGACAATTGTATAATGGTACAGTCCATATTCCATTGTGGGGAAGGATTTCTCCTGTAATATGCATTCTGTGTGTTTGTTTATTGCTTGAATTGTTCCCCATTTTTCTTTAAAAACAAATTATGTTTTATATATGGCATGAGGATTTTTTTAAGCACTGTATCCTACAAAGTAATGGCCAAAAGCAGACTAGCAAGTGAACACAGTGAGAGCCTGTCAGGGCCAGTGTAGACGTAGCCAGAGAGAGCCTGTCTTTTCAGCACTCTTAGAAATCTTTGCTCAAGATCAAAACTGGTTCTGGAATTCCAAGAGCAAATACTGACAAGAGTTAATTAAGCAAAAAATTGTTTCTGCAATTTTTGCAAAGCGAATGCTCACACTAAAAAAGTCTTCCTATTGCAGAAAGATTTTACGGAAAAGCTGCCTGCAACCTGTTTGATAAGCTGGCAAGTATTCAGAACACAACCTGGTCCCTTTTAGTGATTCAAAAGAAATTATTTTA